TTTTTTTTTTTTTTGCAAAAAACAGAACAAGTTAGTGATTGAATATCACTAATTTTATGTTTCAAGGTGTTTTGATCGATATATTTTTTTTAATTTAACTATGATTATATGCTAAAACGAAATTTTGATCCGGGTAAGAAAAATGAGTGAAATGGTAATGTTTTTGGTACCCGAATTGTAAGAAATCTTGACCCATTGTGTTACCCAAATACTCTTCAACAATATGGGAAGAGTTCGCATCTGCAGAGTATCTGAAAGAAAGTGTCTCCTTCCACGGGAGCTTCGAGGAGAACCTTCCAGTGAAGCTACTAGCATATCCACAATGCTCACCAGCCTTCCTCTGAGCTTTTTGCTTTTCACAAAGTGGCAGGTCAAAGAACGAGTCTATATACCGATGAGCATCGGAAATGAGACCGGCGTCAACACCATGATTGACTACCAGAAAGAAACCGTGCTTTCGACAAGCCTCGCCGACGAGGCTCGAGGCTTCAATGGCCGCCACAGGGTCTCCGGAGAGGAATCCTACTAAGTCGACGAGAGGTACCGGAAGTTCTGGTGCTGTGGCGCTAGGCTTCTCGTGGTCTGGCCATATGAACTGGGTTGGTATGTTGGGTTCATGACGAAGCACAGAGGCATCAAAAATTAGAGGCTTTTGCTCGTCTTTGTGGTCATTTTTGTGCTGGTGAGACATTGAAATTTTGTTTGTGAAACCACTGTCAATACCCATTGCATGAACCTAAAAGGTGAAAGAGTCGACTGAGAAGAAGAAGAAGAGGAGTAGGAGAGGGAGAGACAGAGAGAGGAGTAAGTTTGAGGGGTGTGATGAAAGAAAAGCCAAAGCCGTTCATTGGGGAAATCGGTGAACGAAAATTGGAATCTTATAGGTGTCTTCTCTTGTGCCTCTAACACATAGATGTGCATAAAATATTATTTGCAATGAAGGACTTTTATTACAAAATCGGGGCCTATATAATGAACAAATTAGTTAACGATTCAAACCCAATGGATTAATTGGGTGTCTGAATTGGTTTATGCGCATTTTGACTAATTTTCTATCTGATTTAGGTAATTCACGTCGAGATTAAAATATTTATGATAGATAAATTTCTTATGACATAGTCATAAGAGGTTGCTAAAATTCGAAGTCAGGACATCTAAGTTTACGACTCATCTCTATTACCACTTAAACTTTCTATCTAATATAATTTTTTGTTTTTCCATCAAGGTTTAGGACTGATTGTATATAAAAATATACATGTGGAGTTCAAGCAATGCCCCAAACTTTCCCCATAAACTTTTCCCATATTGAATAGTTGATCATTCGTCATGTTTGAATAGGGTACCCGCTTATAAATAGTAGTTTTCAATTGTATTATAATAAATAATTTATTACTAAATAAAATTGAAGAAAAGTATAATGGGATCTGTTTGGAGTTAGCTAAAATATGTAATTTTTAAGGGTTTTGGAGTAACAAGTCCGTTTAGACCTTATCTTTTCTACTAACTTATATAGCAGTGTTTTGAACTCAAAAATACTTATTTAGGCAGATTCAAAAAATTAATTTATAAGTTTTTCTTTCGATTTTTTGGAGTTTTGTCGCGAATCTCACATACTTTTTAATTTATTATATTTACAAAATATTATTAGTGACATAAAAAAATTAAAATTCATAGTTTGAAAACTATTATATATAATCTATACATACATATAATTATTTTTTTTATTTTGACACAAAAAAGACAAATAAAACAAGAAAATCAATTTAAACAGACTTTTCAAACTTTTTACGGAACACCTCAAACGGCTTTAGAAAACATTTTTAACCTTGATTTTTTTACAAAAATTTTCAAATCACAATTTTTAC